AAAACAAAAATTACCAACCCTGTAACCCATCGTTTCGCACGGAACGGATAACATACGCCCAGAAATCTGTGAACCGAGACAAAAAGCGTTAAATAGACACCGCATGTTTGAGCGGTCCTCGCTAGAGGATAACTATACCTGAAATGAATTGACTATGTCCTAAAACTCTGGTGATCACAGCATTGTAGAATTTGGTTCAGTCCGGATCAATATCCTCACACTGACCAATTTTTCATAAAGAAGCATTGATGTTTTTTAGATGGCTTATTGAAATCTACGAATTGAAATTTACTTATTGTTAGGAATGAGTTAGTTGTATATTTTTGAAATTTGATTTGCATAAAGCAGATATTTGTTCGAATGTCAATGCGTAGATGTATTGTAGCACGATCTGTAGTGTTTGCATGTTGCTGAGATGTTCAGTGCATGAGATCAGTCTTCAAACGTCATTTAAAGTCTTTCAGAACTAGCCATATGCTAATGCAACCGTATTCTTGGCATGTACTGGCTAGCTTATGCAAATATTATACAACCCGTTCCCAGAACATCAGTCAGTGAATTATTGCTGCTTGTAATCCGGGCAGCACACAAATTGAATTATCGCATGAAACATGCTAAAGTGATGTGTTTCCGCGTAGGAGTTAAGTACCAAGCCGATTGAATGCTTTCAAATAAGAATTCCTTGAGGATTCAGTCGTTAGGCAATGTAACATGTTGATCCAATTCCAGTGTAGATCATAGAGTGACAAATAAAATTTGCAAAAAAAAAAGAAATGCCTAAAGGAAATTTGTTCATCATGGAGTACCAATCAGACACATAAATTAACTGAATTGGAAAGAATTCTCAGCTGAATTCTCCAATTCGAACTACGAAAAAGTATTCGTTTGACGTATTTGCATAAATCCCTTGATCTTGAATGTGTTTTGTTTGAATTGTGATAACATTATAAATTATTCACACCAATAATGAATTCCGTTTCTTGGCACGTTAAGCAAACGACTCAAGATCTATAGTCATCTATGAAAAGGATTTTCCATCTTATACATCCCGCTAGAAAAACAAAAAGCCAAGCAATTGCAATTCATTCTCCAACATAATTAAGTGTCTATGTTAGCGATTTGCATCCGCATAGGCAAATCAAAGTGATTCATTGCATCAGTTAAAAACTCGAGAGAATGCCCTAAAAGTAATTTCCCTTGTGCTATATAAAATTCAAAAAATTTACATTAGGATAATTGGACAAACACATAAAATAGTACATTTCATTTTGCTACAGTCAACAATTCTTGGTACAAAATCGATACCTCGCATCGTAAACATCTGAAATGTCTTTTTTCCCAAAAGCAAGCCTCAACTTTACTAAAAATATAAAAATATCACAACATCGCATTCTTACTCGAGTTTCAGCAAAAAATTTTTCTCATTTTGTACGAAATGAAGGTGCGGTGCACGTTATTTTTCGAGATTGGGCAGTAGCCTGGCAGTTTTCCTCTGAGAGATATCATATACCAACATTCAATGGATTACGGTTTGACTTTTGAAGTAGTCTGAGAAGCTCAAGTGTCAACATCAGTCGATATTCGGCTCAAAAAAATCATTGAGATGGGGATCTCAGAAATTCGGAGCAAAACTAGTTATCTGAAGTGGCAACAGAACTTTTCGTGAAGTTATTTCACAAGTTTGATGTGTGAGATTAGGTGTGAATCAGTAACGGTGTCAATCAGTAATAACATTGGATTTTGCTCTCTCATATGTTGATAGCAATGTTTTGGTTTGACTTGTGTGCACTCATTTTAACGAAACTTCCTGCGTTCATCTCGGAGTTCCCTCTGGAATCGCTCAAATTCCATGATTCCAATTGATCAATGCAGCTGTTTGCTTTTTTTTGTGAAATTAATTAAAAATCAGTGGAAAAATCACTTGAACATGGACGCCAATTAAGAAATAACACCAATGATGTGGTATGTTCTTCATGCTCCAAATGAAAACTAGCATTGTCTCATGAATTCTTTTAAATCTCTTCATACTTCATTCCGGATGAGACCTATATGAGAAGGAACCAGGAATGGATTTGCTGTGACCGATTTAGACCAGTCAGGGATTAGTGAAATCAATAGAATGAAGTTTTCAAATAGCCACAAGCTCCTGGAAGTTTCTGGTAGAATACAGAAGTTTTCGGGACGACATCGTATGTGATAAGTTGTGAATTTGTTTGTGTCGTTCTGATTAGAAGACTGCTGTAAGTTAGGAAATTATATTTTGCAAGAATTTTTTCATCAAATTGACGACTTTTCCTGTTTCAACTCGAAGAAATGTTCAAAAACATGTACATCATGCGGCTGGAGTGTCTAGGGTTGAAGATACACAATATTCAATGCAAATTTTCACTGTTCACATATTCGGCTATCTAACCAACTTCAATTATATCGCATGGTTTGGTAAACTTGAAATTGAAGAAACCAGTGATTGAAATGAGACGAACGTCGTCGCTGGTGAGTAAGATGAGCTACTGCTGCTAAACAATATGATGAAAATGGTCCGAATGAGTCAGTGAGCTTTCCGAAAAATTTCAGTCTTATCTCATGTTTAGATCGATGAGATAAGACTGAAATTTGTCAATTGGAATCAAACGACTTAATGCTCAAAATATCCACCTTTGAAGTACACTCGAGCTGGCTGTTCAGCTGTCAAACTGACCGAATATCCAAAACGATTATCCGAAATCGATGAAGAAATTCATTCGCAGAGGAAGAAGAGGAAGGATGTTCCTTAGCGGTCGAAAAATTTAATCCCAATTACGAAACACCACGACAGAAATTGATTTCTTGGAGCGTTTGGCGTTGTTTTTGCAGGATTATTGGCTGGATGAAAATGCTTTCAGTGAAGATCAAAATTCCGTGAATTATCCAGTGATGCAAATGGCCCAATGAAGATGATGAGCCAGCCCATAAAGATGTGTTCCTTGTGCTAATTTTGGCTCAGTTTAACAACAAACGAAATTAATTTGCAGTTCCCTTGGTGTTTCGCAAATACGGTAGCGCTAGTGCATTGTTGCTGCTCTTAATGTTTGGGCATGACGACGTTGAGTTCGCTCATTTGAGAATTTTAGCTTCAATTTTAGCTTCGGTGAATTTTTAGCTCCAATGAAGCAACAACACTGAGAAATGTGACTTCAAAGTGAGCGGGTCAAAAATCGTCTCAAAAATAATACGCCAAAAACAAATATTGTGTTAGCATCCGCTCANCCAGTCGATTCATGAGAATCAATGCTCTTAATACGTCCATCTTTGAAGTGCATTAGAGCTGGATGGCTGGCTGTTCAGCTGCCAGATTGATAGACGTGTGTGAACGGATATCCAAAACGATTATCCGAAATCGATAAAGAAATAATTCATTTGAAAAAGACGACGAAGGAATCGACAAACCTGAGTACAACTGGATATATGTCGTGTAGCATGAACGATGTTGACATAACGGCGATAACCGGAAAGAGAAGAAAGAAGAAATTACACAGCAACAGCAACAAATCAGAAACGCTCAACGCCAACAAGAAATGGTTGACGAGACTTGGTCGCATCTCCGGATGTGCAAATACGATAATATTGATGAGATTCGTTAACATGCCAAATATTGAGATAGGCATATTACCCATTAAGCGATAATCGATTTGATCTTGTGTGAAGATGCCCGCTTGACACATGTCAAACGACGACACATTCAATTCTGTATCCAGTGACGACGACATATTATTCGCATTCTGAAATCATCAATCACATTTTCATTCCTCACATCATATTGTGTCAAATGGCTGACTC